GAGTTCAGCGAGATCGTTGATTTCTCCGCCACTGCAGACCACCCTATTGAATTCCTCCCGAACCAGGTAATTGAGGGGGTTTAGGTCTGGTTACCTGCTTAGATATTCCACCTCATTCAGGTACTCAACGCCCTTCCATTCCAAGTAGGCAAAAGTTTTCCCAACGCCCTTTGATTCCATGTGGTGTCACAAAACCCTGTAACAGTAGAAAGTTTCCAAGAAGGTACGGGCGACGACATGTGGAGAGGATATTCTTCTCTAGTTGCTCGATGTGACCGCTAGCGCTCATCTTCACTCCGGAGTCAAAGAAAACAGTGGCCTTCCCATACCAGGTACATCCGGTCCATACAATCCACCCACGCCTTGGCGACTGTGGTAAGATGATGTCTTAGACCGTGGCGACGTTATCGGAGCTGTTCGATGTTGGAGGTCATCCAGATTGAGAGTACTAGTTTCTAGGTAGCTATCCATGAGTGACTCCATACAAGAAGTTTCTCAGCTGTTTGGAAGTGACATGAATTTCCAAAGGTATTCTCCAGTCAGGCTGCGACTAGAGCTGACTTTATGTTTTGGTGTGTATGAAGGTGATGGGTGAGAGCCAGCTTATCGAGGAACACCTTGGGTATCTTCCGCCCCGGTACTTGCCCCCACGTCCTCTGTCTGGGCAGCGAAGACTGTGCTGATATGTGACTCGGTCGAAGTGCTTTTTTTGCCCCCCCCTTCCGTATTTTCAAAGACACTGCCATGTTTCGTTATAGCAGCTCCATGACAAATTCTGCACATTCCAGGGAAAGGCGCCGAAGAGTTCTGACTCTACCCTATAACGCGTTTGCTATTCGTGTTTGTCCAGCTCTGTGGCTGGTCCGCTCTTCTGATTTTGGACGCCATTTCTCCCGGTCGAATGCTTGATCAGGGGTGGGCCCAACTATCCTCAAATCCACGTGCAGCGTGTCAAGCCAACGTTGCCTAGGGCGTCCTTTAGGTCGTTTGCCGAGCATCTCGAACTGGAGACAGTCTTGCAGACGCTGCCCGTATTCGCGCTGAGTACGTGACCATACCACGGAAGACGAGATTCTCGCACTCTATCAGCTATGGAAGCTAGGCGAGCTTCTAACGTCATCGTTGCACAATGGATCCATACGCGTGACACCGGCCGTACAACGTAGCATATTTATCTCCATCACGCTAAGGTGGACTTCGACCTCTACGGTTGCATTCCAGGAGAGTCCCTTGCGAAGCTACTGGTCTGATCACAGTTCTGTCGATTTTCGATTTGAGGCGCTCTGGTGTGGTCTTGTCACAGGAAACTCCAAATATCAAGCGCCATTTCGCCCACGCTGCATCCACGTGAGAGTTTACCTCTGAGGTCAGACTGCCATCAGAAGCCATTTCTGATCCAAGACAAATGATGGCTCTTGTGCGTGTGAGCTCGATATCACTGATCTTAATGGAATCGGACCATTTGTGTCGCTCCTCAGGTATCATTTTCTTGATGTTCAACTTCAGTCCGAATATTGTCAAGCGATCAGACCAAGCTTGCACCTGCTGCTCGAATTCTCTTTTATCTTCACTGGCGGGCACGGGTATGTGACAAGAGGATCGTAATTTGCCACGTTGCTGGGCGTCGCGTGCGACGTCCCGCCCGCAAAGGACGATGGTTTCAGTCAGATGGCGACAACATGCAATTGAGGACCTTGAAGGGACCGAAAATAGTAATGAGTATCTACGATGACGGGGTCTACATGAAGTCTGGGTCATTCGACAGCGTTAAAACGAGTTTGAAAACGCCGCGTCATATCGGCGGCGGTATTACGATTCCTCTTCACCGTCTCCCGGCGAGCACCAACATCATCTGCGTAAAGAAGCGTTTCAACGATAGGTTTTTAAGATCCTCGCGAAAGTGCATCCAGACGATCAGGAAAGGAAGTGGTGGAGAGGCGTCAGAGTCTCCTGGTACCCCGGACCGCGATGGAAATTCCCGAGAAGTGCTTGTTGTCTGCCGTGCACCGCCTCCTTAGCTATGCGAGAACAGGAATGCGGCCACCCACTCAATAATGCTCTCAAGGGACGCCATGTTGTCGCCACGGATTACCGATATATCTTCAAGCGGCACACCAATGATATGCCTTATCCAGGTCCCAGAAAAGCTGTGGCTCGCATGTCGATCAGTAGACTTTTGTTTCTCACGGTGTCTCTTAGCCAAAATGGACGCGGACATGTTATAGACGATTGGTGCTACAACTGCCTAGCAAAGGCCGCACGGATGTCTCAAGCTGGGACGATTTCGCGTCGTATGCACACACACGTTTTACAAATTCGCTCAGAGATTTTCATTACTGTTGACCAGCAAGCGAATTAGACGCGTAATCGGAGCAGTCCGCCAAGAGCTTACCCTTCTTCTTCCAAATTGAAATTTTACTTGCCAGTCCTGGCGTCTTCTTACGGTCCTGATGAATAAATTCGTTTCTAAATTCTGTCATCCCGTTATGCATGGTACAACCCCGTAGCTTCCATTAAGTTCGTATCGTAGTCGTTCAGGTCCTGCCTGCTTTGCCTGATTCAACTTCCGAGAGCCGCCTTCCGTTCCTTACGGTTATCTTCTGAACGGACCGTACTAGCGAGACAAAATTGGTTGGGTGGTGTGCGACATATTCACCGGTGAAATATACTCAAAGAAGTCGTAACCGCCCCAGCACCTCTTTCGATTCGCCAAAGACACCACGTCGTCTTGACACCAAGAAAATTTTCGATATCTTCGGTCGACAATTACGCCAAGAACTTGGCGCGAGTCGGTATAGGCTGCCCTCTCCCATCACGTGAATCCAACTCTTACTGTCAATCTCTCGAACTTGGGCGGCCTCACGCCTGCAGCCACGCCCCACGTTGATTCTCTCGGGAACCCCCATCGACTCGATTTCGTTGTGCCTGGGCGTTGCGATCTTTAGACTTACAGAATTAGTAGATTGTTGTGTGGCAACCTTTCTCGCCTGCACAGTCTTCGCGTCTTTATGACATTGTCATTGGTTGGCGGATGTCTAACTAGGGACGAAGTAAGCTGTGCGTTTTGTACTCCCATTGTTAGAGCGTAACTGAGAATGATCAATGAAACCTTAGTAATCAGCGAATGACTGATGAGGTTCGGCGTAATCGAAAATTAGACTTACGTGACCCATACCGATTTCCCCATGATTAACTGTAGCGTGGTTTCGTAGCGCCTACGTGCCCGTATAGTTAACCAGCGAAAATTACGATAGTTCGCCATGGCAAGTCAGCTGTTTTCTTCCTTAAGCAGGGGACAATCCTGGATGCGCTGTAGAGCCATCCGTTTTGCGGAAGGCAGAAAAGCTAGAGCCGTTGTTTGACAGCAATAACCATTTTATCAATCTAGTCTCAAGCGGTTCTACGCTTGCCTTCGATCCCGACACGTGGAGATGCCATTACAGCCACTCCGTAGGTGGTTTTTTGGTTTGCCCTACACACGAGGCTTCAAAGCCTCAGCCGATGTCCCTTGACTTGTAAACTGGACGCATCCTGCTTTCCTGCACAGCTACACTGGCCTATTCCGCTTCGCCTCCAGTACCTTCTGCCAGCGCTCACATAAAGCGCCCGTCACCGTACCAACATTTGACGTTGGTACGCGGGCCTTTTCGATGTTGCATGACTTTTGAACTAGCTTGGTGGCCTCCGATGCCGTCCTTACATCAGGGACCCTCGCATAGTTTCCACACCCGCCGGGCCATACGAGTGTGCTTCGCTCTCCCGGACGGTGTAGCATTGTTTCGGAAGTCACATGACATACTGGACATTGGTGATGTGACTTGGGTGTACGTAGGTCAGCGCGTCGAAGGCCTGTCACTGCGTCGAATGTCTGCGATCAGCTCAGCTTGTAGCTTCGAGCAGTTTCCGGTGGCACTACGTGGAAGAGCAGAGTTCACCATCCTATGATGCCTCTGCTCAAATTGTGAAATCTTGTTTACAAACTTGCAACAGCGCTCGGACAACCGCATCATCGCGATCATTTAAGCGTCGTGAGGCTATTGCATGAAATTCATAAGGCTGAGAACGTGCAAAGGCGGTCTCGGTGAGGTAACTAATATCGCCGAAACGCCTCAAACCATGACTTCGATAGATGAACATAGAATTGCTCGTGGCGAGCCCTTTTTAAAATCCTTCACGGCCCCTGGGAATCATTTGCCGCTCTGCAGATCCTGTTGAGGGCGACTTTAGTAGAATGCTCATATTTGGACAGCCGACTCATCGGGCGACACTTGCCCCACCGTGGAATTCTCCCGTTCTATGCAGCAGCACAGTCCTCATTTCCCGCCTCTGGTGAAGAGCATTCCGATAGGTAGCAGAGTCCCGCAAGATGTCTGATGTCAATAATAATAGAACACAGGATGAGGTAGTCAATAAGTCACTAAAATATTCGATTCAAAGGAAGTTAAGGGAGTTTTGAAGGAATGGTCCACTATCAGGCCTAGAAGTTGAAAATATGGCGTCGGGAAGGTAGCGTGGCCTGCGGCAAACAACCTTGTAGCGGTTTCGCGACAAAAAATTTAGAGGGAGGGGCGCTATAACGGAATATAGGTCCAATGACGCCTCCTATTTCTAGTGGCTCCGCCTCCAGGCTGAGCCCTCAGCCCGCCACTGAAAAACGAAGCTCTAGGACGAAAAAGCGTGAAACTCGTCACTTGCGCGGTCGTAGAGTTCTTATCGGAGCATCAGCTGTACGGATGAATGCGTAGTGCTGAAGAGGAGGTAATCGGGCAGGTACAAAGCGGGACCGGAACAGAATTCTTTTTAAGGCGGTTGGCATGTTTTTTCGCTTTTTTCATTCACTATCGAGTTACTCACAATCATGGCGTCTATATGCTCACCCCTAGTCCACTATCTCTACAGGGTTGGCCATAAATACAGCGACAAGGTTTTACCTTATATCTCAGAAAGCAAAAGTACAATCGAGTCATGAACATAACATTTATTAAGTAACAACTGGTACATTAACAATCATAAGTTACTTCTCGATTCGGCCACCTTTGGCGCGGACGACAGCGCGGAGTCGCTTGGGAAAGGCGTCGATGAGTGCGACGCAGGAGTGCGTCGTCGATTTCGTCCCATTCTCGGATGAGCGCTGCCTTCAGATAAACCAAATTGGGGTGGGGAGTGGCGCAGGCCTTGCTCTCAAGGTACGACCACAAGTTATAGTCCAGTGGGTTCAAATCCGGTGACGATGCCGGCCATTCTTCTGCCGAGATGAAGTCGGGGAGTTCGCTCTTGCATCACGCTTGGACCACCTTGGCCTTGTGGGCGGGCGCCGAATCTTGCTGAAATGTCCACGGGCGGCCGTTTAAGTGGGAATTCGCCCATGGGAGTAGAGCATCTTCCAGAATCGTCTTTAGGTAATAATCTTTGTCGATTTTGACGCCGGGGTCGACGAATATCAACGGCGTCTTCCCCGAGGCACACACCCCTGCCCAAACCATGACTTGGGCAGGGAGTGCGACCCCGTGAACGACTCTTCCCTTCTTGTCGGTCGTCCGAAGCAAAAGCAGTCGGCACTTCTTGACTCGATTAGAGGCGCTGAGGATAGCAGCCTTCCGAGTACGGCAGGGGTACATTTTAAGGTCCTCGTGGACGACCCTTTCCATTGACATCCGCGAGATTCCCATGTCGCGAGTCATCGTCGAGAAGCTCCGAGTCGCGTTTCTTGCTATCCGCTTTCTGACGGCCTCGACGACCTTCGGCGTGCGAGCAGTACGAAGTCTTCCACTTCTTCGGCGGTCTTGGAGTCCACCAAGATGTCGATAACGTTGGAGTGTGCGATACACGACGCTACGGTGGATGCCGAGGTGCTTAGCGATCGTAACGGGTGGGCGGGCGGCTTTGTGCAGACGAACGATAGCGGAACGATCAGGAGAAGGCTTCACCATTTCACTATGAATGGACCAAATTTAACCAAATTTTAACAGGAGTTAGAAAAAATGATGAGATTGAAAAATCTATAAAACTGGCGCGCTATGTGCGCTATAGAATGTGCGCTAACTGCAGCAAGTCTTGTCGCTATAATTATGGCCAGCCCTGTAAGGCTGCGTTTATACATTGCGGCAGCGTAGTGTAGCGTAGCGCTTCCAGCGTACGCCAGCAGCAGTGCCGGGATGAGGATGGATATCGATCTACGCCGTCTCCAGCGTCAACCAGCGAACGCTAGACGTTTCAACCAGCGTTTTGCTGGTGTTTGCAGGGGCAGGGGAGTAGAGACTATGGCCGTGGAGAGACGCAGCAAATCGATTCTGTTGTAGAGAGCTATGTGGCCATCAGAGATGCGCAATCGATGTGTTGTTGTACCCTCCAGCTCTCCCATAGTCTCTCTCTGCCTGCCGCTGCAAACGCTTAGCAAAACGCTGTGATACGCTCGGCGAAAGCGCCGCACAGTATAACGGCAGCTAACGGGAATGATCGTCTGGCTTGCCTATAATGAATATAAATAAGCGCCCCCTGTTTGTCTGTCAACGTCTCACCAGCTGTATGCCGCGTCCATCAGCGCCAGGCAGCTTTCTCAAGCGGCTAGCAGCAGGGATAGAAACACCACTTAGCATTTGCTAGCGTCTGCCAAGCGCCTACCAGCGACCACAGCGTGAGTAAGGGGATATGGAGCCTCTGTGAGGGTAGTAAACGCTCGTAGGAAATGAGGCGATCAGTAGTACGACTCCGTACCCTCTATTCCCCCTCCCATCTCTGCTATCGCAGCAGACTGGCTAGTCGCTGTAGACGCGGGCTGGTTGCTAGATCTGAATACTTGTAGTTCATCAGCTTCGGACGCTGTCTGTCGCTGGCAGACCCTTGACCGATATCTATACTTTTCAGTCCTTCTGTGCTGCCAGACAGGTGCGGAACGGCCTGAATGGATCTATTGGCTCGTTGTGGACGCGCGGTAAAGTATGGAGCGCAGCTGCTTAGCAAATCTGGTCAGCTATTAGCAGTTCTTGTCACGCCACCAAAACGTTCGTGTCCCATACCCTATACCGTTGACTTGGAACTAACGTCCCACACAGCCGCGAGCGATTAGAGAAGAACGACGGGCTCATCACCGTTGGAATTCACTCCCCAAGGGCGCTCTTTGGTCGCTGGAGGAGGAGGGTTCGGGGGTCGCATTTGTTGTTGTTTGGAGAGTGGACATCCATTACTTTCTGGACTCGGAGATAATTGTATTCTCTGAGTGTTCACATAATTTTGGAACAAGGAAACTTCGTTATAAAAAGTGTGAGCTCGCGCAGAAGATATTGCGTAATGAAGCTTTCACGGGTACTTCTGTTCAGGAAAATAGATAGCAAACGTTTTCTTTCGTCAATTAATTTTAATTTTTTAATTTAGTTGATTAGAAGATTTCCTCTAATAGTCAAAATTTCGGATGTCCACATATCTTATAGTACTCGTTCAATTATTTATAGCACTGAATCTCACCTCCATCCATCTGCATGTCAATAAAGGAGTACTGCGACAAGTTCTTTATTATGTTGGCTGAGAGTTTCCTGTTTCCGTGCACAACAATCTGCTTTCCTGTAGATTTTTTGAAAGCACTCACGAGGCGTGAATCAAGCGTCAAACTTTCCAGTCTTGTGTTATTAATGAATTTCAGCGGTGCTCCTTAAATGTAGTGTATACACAAACCCTCCAGACAAGGCTGCTATAAGATATGCGAATTTGAATAGTTAAAGGCAGTTGGCATGATAAATCCCCCAAGACGAAGTGAAGTGATGATATGTGCAATAGAAGCCATTGGGAGCCAGCAGCAAATTGACCTGGAGAAGTTACTTGGCCACTTAAAAAAACCTTGGAATGTGAACATCCCCACTGATATCTCCCACTATACATAATTTGCTTCGTCCTTTGCTTGTTAGTTTGTTTCTCTCTCCGAAAATTCGATTCGACCTGATGAACAACTTGTAGAAGTCGTGGGGATGAGTATGGGACAAGATGTAAAGAGCACACACGACCTACGTGAAACTCCGCCCACTGTGAGCGGGGCGTGTGTCGAAATTGGCGGTACCGCAGACAGAACTCCATAACTCGTTTCCAGAGCTCAAAGACAAGGGGAAAGTGGAATAATGTTGGCGAGGGGTTGTCAGGCTACAAAGGAAACACACCCGAACCCGAACGGGACGTATATGAGAGGGGCGAGGCTCCCTGCAAAATTCAGTACCTCGATTCCCGAGAGGGTTTATAAATCGCACAAATGTTGATGCAGAAGGGCAACATCAGGCGAGAGTTGGGAATGCATAAAGTGTGGTAAGACCCGCACACAGTATTCGAAGCTTACCCTCAAACGTAGTGTGCTCGTTTTAAAAATTTGTAGCTCGGCACCAGAGCACTCCACACCGAAGAAAATGGATTAAAGTCAGCTAGGGGTCACCTGTTAAGAAATGTGGGGCACGCATGTTGTGGGCGGGCCCTGCCTCGGAGTCGGAGCCAGGAAAAAAGTTTGAACGACGATTCCAGAGCACTCCATACAAGAGAAAAAAGTGGATTAAAGTTAGCGAAGGGCCACCGGTTGAGAAATGTGGGGCACATATGGTGTGGGCGGGGGCCTGCCCCGAGGTGAGCGGGGCCAGATAGAAAACTCTGCTAGACGTTTCAGAGCGCTCAGATACGCGAGGGAAAAGTGGATTACGGTTAGAAGATGTCGTTGGCTGATGCGACACATCTGCTGTGGGCGGAGCCTAAGTGAAGGATTCGTAGATTCCAGAGCATTCTATACACTGAGAAAGAAGTAGACTGGATCAAACACACCGACGTGGAAGTGCGAAACAAGCCAGGCTTTATCACAGAAGGAGGCCACGCTTTGCGTCAGGCTTGCGACCCGGCTTGTTGTTATTAATGGAGAATGCTTCCTCCACCAACTGTTAGTAGATCGCGTGGAAGACAGATGTTTTGGAAGCTAACGATGACCAGCTACTTTGTCATCGATGAGGAAAAATTTGAAAACGTGGGTTGCAATGTACTATGTACGATGGCTACTCTCACGACACACTCCACCGTGATGCACGCGGCAGTGTACATTAGTTTGAATGAGAGAATTGAATGCGAAAAATAGATGATAGCTCATAATTTCATGCAGTATAAACAGTTGAGAAGTTATCTGAAACTTCTCTTCTAATAATGCTCTGGTGAAATTTCAGAATAAAAGATCGGTTCAGTGCTTAGAATTCCCCGGAAACTTCTTCAACTTCCTCTATTGATGTCTATCTGATTATTCGTTCAGTTGACCAGTGCCCACACTTTTTGGAGCACTACAAGAATCTCCGGGCTGCCGTAAAAGCATGCACTTCCGAACATCGGAACTCGAACTTGTTAAGAAATGCCAACCAACCTTTACAGTTCCCTTTGATGAGTGGTACAGAAACCTTGTACTCTGTTCTGTTAGTATGGATGACCTCGACGCACATGTTGAGAACAGCGCCAGTTTGGAAGAGATCGTCGATGTCACTGGGATGGTAGTTTGTGGAATACAGCGTATGGTGCGAGATTAAGGTGATGACAACTGCCTTGTCACATGGAATGAAGCCGGCTGTTTTATCTTCTTCCGTGGCCATCGAGATAATGACACTTTTATTGTCCTTTAAGGTGCAGTCTGAATACTTCACTTATTTACTTGGTTACGGAGCTCAGTTGGAGCGTTTCAATGAATGCAGATGAGTAGATTCTCAGAATCTCAGCACGTCCATACAGAAAAACAAAAACAAAGAAGAAAAGAAAAACAAAAATAAATGAGTACTAGTACTCCAAATATGTAGTTTCAATTTTTTCATCACTACTTTTTGCTTCTAGTTACCCTACTGTAGGTAGTTATGAGTCAGCAACTGTGCCGGCTTGCAAGTCTGTCGATCTGTAACATTGTAACACGTACAGGTACGCATGTCTTTTTGCTTTGGAGGAGAACGATCGCTTGGGAAGCAATTGTTTTGGAACTTTCGGAGTCAGTCAGGAATCCGCAGGTGCTCCACATATTATATAGGTTGGAAGGAAAGTCCTGTCAGTGTTTGTTGAAAAGCCTACACTTTTCGGTTCTTGATGCTCGAACATGGCCTAACATGCCAAGCTTGTAGAACATTATAGGAGCTTTCCTGGAAGAGTGGTGCGAGGGCGGCTGCACTTTCCTGGGTCTAATTGCGATGTCAGTTTCACAGG